TTAAATAAGTATCGTTTCATAGAAAATGCATTAATCTTTTAGAGAAAAATTCTAAAAATATATATGCAATAAGGAGCGGAGGAAAAAAGAACTCGCCTTTAAGAGATATCATGGTCTCTTTTATAGCCTATGAGGTTTAGCTTTTTTGAATAGAAGGGATTAAAGTATAAGCAAAATATTTATAATTTATTATAATAAATATCTCTAATTCATCATGGAATAATATGTCTTTGACTTATCATGGTAAAATATATTTAATTTATGGTATGATCATGGAGCCTAAAATTCTTTAGAGTTAAAAAGAGCATGGGCTTAAAAATAGTGTGTTTATAGTTCAACAGACTCATATATGCCTTGATTTAGTCAAACATTAAGCCCAACGATGGTGCGTCTGAAAGTTCACTAAACCCATATATATCTGAGTTTAATGCTTAACTAAGCCTAGAAATATTGTAATAAAGTAGCAAATAGGGTAATAACACAATATTTGGGTTTAATGCTTGACTGGGCCTAGAAATATTGGATTTGATAGCTCATTAAACTCATATATATATATATATATATATATATATATATATTGTGTTATTATATTAAGTGATTGTGAACCCTTATAGTCCTTTTATTAAGGCTTTTGAACTAAAAATTATTATAGAGAATGGTCTAGATGTTGATGCAAACACTATCTAATGTTATCAGGCCAAATGGTACTCATTAAGATTGCCATTTGTGGATTTAATTTTCCTATCACTCATGTTGATGACACTGAAGTTTGGAAATTTATTCTATAGTGAAATTCATTAGTAAAAATGCTTTAGATATTAGTGGAAGAAAGGTTCCAGGTTGGACTCGTGTAAGCTTTTGTGGGGACCGGTGAAGTATGAAAATTTCACATTATTTTGTTGCCCTGACAAGTTCTAGCAAAGTTTGTTACATTACTTGTGTAAAATAAATAGGCAAGTTGGTGGTGGGTCTGTAGAAATTTCTTGGGCCAAACAATTTTTTCAAGAGAAGAGTTTTTTGTTGTTCTGTTAAGAATTTCCTTAGACCGTTATCATTTCTGCACCATAGTTACAGCTAAGAAAAAACAACACCAAATTATTATAATTTTTGCTCCAAATTCCTTTTTCCAAGTGCTTTTAAAGTTTGATTTTGCTCGTTATCAAATCAAATACAACATATAAACAAGAAAGTGAAGAAATAAATGTTATAAAGAAACATTTAGAAATTAATCAAGTTCTGGCATCAAATTATAAAATTTTTAGTTTAACATCAGCAAAGCCAACCCGTGCTTTGTGCTTTTTAAAGAGATCATTCAGTGCAACAACAAATTGGTTGTGAACTTCATCAAGCTGCGAAATTGATAAAAATGAATCCACGTATAAGCAGAAGTTGGATATTAAGCTATCACTCAGTGGTAAATCCATAAATTTATCTAAAATAGAGATGCAGGCAGCTTTAACTCCACCTTAACTAGACATTAAAGAAGTCTTAAGACAAAATAATAAATAAATAAAGATAGTGGAGGTAAAAGGAATTTGTCTCGTGTCTTTTTTTATTATAGAATAATAAAAATTCACTTTAAAATTGTTTTAAAGACAAGAGGAGATTCTTAACATTTCACTACTAAGAGGAGATTATTACATTTTGAAACCAATAGAAGCAATATAAAAAGGTTGTGTAAATTTTGATAAGAAAAGCGTAGACCTTCATGAAAGCTGCAAGATGTGGATTCGTTGGACAACTTGATGATAGTGGTCATTCAATCTTTTTTTTCTGGAGGTATGTGGAAGGTATCGAAGAGAGCAATGATTTTGGCTCGTGGAAAGAAAACTGACACCTTATATATGACCACAAAATTTACAGACATTATTGCCTCTATTGAAGCAGAAAATCAAGCACGACTATGGCACTGTAGACTCGGTTATATAAGTTAAAAGGGGATGAAAATACTTTAATTGAAAGGAAAGCTATTGAAAAATAAATCTGATGTGTTTGAAACATTCAAGAAATGGAAAGCTATAGTTGAGACTGAATCAGGTTTAAAGTTAAAATGCTTAAGATCTGATAATGGAGGAGAATACATTGATAGAGGTTTCAAAGAGTATTGTGCTGTCAATGGTATTAGAATGGAAAAGATTGTTTCAGGCACACCACAACTGAATGGCATTGCTGAATGGATGAACATGAACATCAATGAATGAGCTAAAAGCATGAGGTTGTATTCTAGGTTACCTCAAACATTTTGGGCTAACACAGTTGATATTGCAGTTTACTTGATCAACCATGGACCATCAGTTCCTTTGGAGTTCAGATTGCCCAAGAAGGTATGAAAAGTATAACTTTCTCATTTAAAGGTCTTTGGTTGTATTTTCTATATTCATATAGAGTCCGATGCTCGCAACAAGCTAAATGTCAAATCCAAGAAATGTTTCTTCATTAGATATGGAGATAAAAAATTTAGATTTCGATTCTGGGATGATTAGAACAGAAAGATTATTAGAAGCAGGAACATGATCTTTAATGAGAAAGTTTTGTACAAAGACAAATTAAGTGTAGAAACAAATATGGTTAATTCATATACAAATCCATAAAAATTTGAATTTATAAGATTAGAAGGGCTACCCGATGTTATCGAGTAGAACAAAAATTAAGAGTCTTTACAAGAAGATTCAAGCACATCTATACCCACTACTATGAGCTAAGTGAACCAATTGTTTATGTTCGCAGGTCTTCAAGGACTGTAAAGCCACCACAATGGTTCACACTTCTACTGAAATATATTTTGCTGATAGATAGTGGTGAACCACTAACTTATAAAGAATCCTTACACAATGAAAACTCAAACAAGTGGGAGTTAGTCATAAAGGATGAGATGGATTTGTTGTTGAAGAATAAAACTTGGGAGCTAACCACACTACCTGAAGGAAAGAAGGCTTTGCAAAACAAGTGGGTTTACAAAGTAAAGACTGAGCATGACGGAAGAAAATGGTTCAAGGCAAGACTTATTGTAAGAGGGTTTCAACAAAAGAAAGGGATTAACTACTCTAAGATATTTTCTCCAATTGTGAAGCTCACAATAATCAGAGTTGTTATGCAGATAGTAGTTACAGACAATTTACATCTTGAACAATTAGATATAAAAACAACATTTCTTTATAGTGACTTGAAAGAAGACATTTACATGCAACAACTAGAGGGGTTTGCAATACAAGAAAAGGAGAACCAAGTCTGCAAGTTAAGGAAAAGCCCATACGGTTTAAAGCAAACTCCAAAACAGTGGTACAAGAAGTTTGACAACTTCATATGTTATTTGGGGTACACAAGATGTTAAGCTAATCATTGTTGCTATATCAAATATTTTGACAACTCCTACATCATTCTACTATTATATGTAGATGATATGTTGATTGCAGGATCCAACATTGAGGAGATTAACAAGCTAAAATAATAATTGTCAAAACAATTTGAAATAAAGGATCTGGGAGTTGCTAAACAAATACTTAATATAAGAATCATCAAAGATAAAGATAAAGACATACTAAAGCTTTTACAAACAGAACATATCAAGAAGGTTCTCAATAGGTTTAATATGGAAAATGCTAAACCAGTAACTACACCTCTAAGGAATCATTTCAAACTCAACAAAGACCAATCACCAAAAACTAAGCTAGAATATGAATACATGGATAAGATTTTATACGTCTTAACTATTGGCTTGTTGATGTATGTTATGGTCTGTACCATACCAAACATTATCCATTCAGTGGGAGTTGTAAGCCGATATATGAGCAATCCTGAAAAGCAATATTGGAAGGTTATAAAATGGATCATGAGATACTTAAAAGGTTCCTTGGAGACTTATCTTACTTTCACAGCTAGTGGTTTGAAACTTAAAGGTTTTGTAGATGTTAATCTAGTAGGAGATGTTGATAGTAGAAAGAGCACTACAAGATATGTATACACTCTATGAGGCACTGCTACTTCTTGGAGTTCTACCTTACAAAAGATCTTCACTCTTTCAACGATAAAAGTTGAATATGTTGCAGTCTCAGAATCTGCAAAAGAGATAGTATGACTATAGAGTTTCCTAAAAGAATTGAACAAGATGAATGGAAAAGGTACTCTGTATAACAGTAGTTAGAGTGTAATCTTCTTTGCCAAGAATCCAGCATTTCACTCCAGGACTAAGCATATTCAGATCAAATATCACTTCATTCGACAATTGCTAGACAACGAGCAACTAATGCTAGAAAAGGTTTGTAGAAGCAAGAATACAGCTAACATATTAATCAAAGGAGTTACACTTGATAAATTGAAGTTGTGTAAAACTTCAGTTGGTCTTCAAGGATAAAAGATAATTTTATTATTTGTCTTCAAGTAGGAGATTGTTAGTAAGTAGAGACAAACAATGTTCAACCTCCACCATATGTAAGTGGAAATACCTCATCTCCCACTTGGCATATGATGGAGGTTTAAATTAAGGCAAAAATAGAGAGAGCAAAAGAGAGAGCTAGAGTGAATAGAGTTGAGTTGAAAAGAGTTTTTCTCCTCCTTTTTTTGTTTGTATTGTTTCCTTGATTGATTAATACAATTCAGTATTTCTGTGAAGTAGACAAGTTTTCAAACCATGTAAATTTATATATGTTTAATTTCTAGAATGTCCCACTAACAACTAGCAATGCTTTCTTGGTGCCACCAAGGAAAAAACCATGCAAAAGATGAGTCGTTAAAGACAAAAATAAAAATACCTCTGAAATGCTAAATTTCAAACAGGAGGTGCATTTTTGCACATTATCCAAACCTACAAACCTATGTATTCTAGTTTTGGATTATACCTGAACATTTATGATGACAAATTACATATTTTAATGGGACTGATCCAGCTGCCAAGTCTGCAGCATGCATTTCTCATCACTATAATCAAAGCCCAAACTTTGGGGAATGCTTCTTGTTTAATGGACATGAAGTTTAGGGTAGGAGGTGAATAGTGGAGGGGGAGGTGCCATGAAGGAGTATTAATGGTCTAACATTTATGTGTTAGTATACCAGTATCTTTAGACAATACAAACATCCAGCATGAAGCAAGCAAGAATCGAAAGCTTTGTCTTTATATGAAAAACCAAAACCTTTTTTCTGTTTTTCCAAGCAGCTTCTTTTACAATAATGATGGTAATAATCCAAATCATCAACTACGATCCTTATCGAAAGGCTTGAGCAACCCGTAAGTAATTGCCATGGCAATCCAACCTCCAAGAAGAATTCTTACTGCAGATATCCTAACTGGTGAACCGCCAAGATAAGCTCCCAAGCCTCCAAAAAAAGCCAGAGCTACTGATGCAACCACAGGAATCATCACAATACTAACAACATTTTGAGCAACAAGAATGGCAGACAGCAAAGGCACACAAGATCCTATCAAAAATGATAAACCTGATGCAATTGCAGCCTTGTAGGGGTTTGTTAGCACCTCCTCTCTGTCATCCTCCAGCATTATTTCAGCACTTTTCCTCGCATCTTCTTGAATTATTTTCATTGCAGGAGATCTTCCAGGAGAAATACCCGGAGGCAACTTTGGCTCGTGGATCATACTTGGTGACCTTCTCTGTGTTGGCTCAGAGATGAGCTTGGCAAACTGTATATTTCCAGGGGGATCATCCAGCTTCGCTTCTCCATTCGTGCTTGCTAGCGTTGCTGTGACATCGAGTCTGATTCCAGGAGAATCTTTTCCATCATTTTTTGAACTGAAATCGCTTACAGTTTCCCTTTCGATATCTCTCTGGGTTGAGACTGAAACAAACTCCCCAACAGCCATGCTACAGGCACCTGCAAGAGCCCCAGCCAGTCCAGACAAGACCATGGACCGGCTATCTTCCTTTGCTGCACCTACGCCAAGCATTAGTGATGTAGTGGAAAGCAAACCATCATTAGCTCCCAGAATAGCTGCTCGGAGCCATTGAGCTCGCCGCAATCTCTGGACTTTCTGAGCATCTTCATCAGCTACTGAAATCTTATGTTCAGCACAAGTTTCTGATATTTGATGTAAAGCCATGTTAAAGAGAGATGTGCTTTTAGCTTAGGGACAGAAGTTGGGGAGGAGTGTGGCTGCCTAGGTTGAGACACACAGAAGGCACGTGGAGTATATAAATATATCCAGGTATGTATAAGTAAATGGCATGGATGCGGCCGAACTGAGACCTTCACCGGTAAAAATGGATTTCTTCATAAAAAGACAAGAAGATACTTTGGTGGTACCGTGAAAGATTACTTATGGGACCAACACAAACGTTGAAGTCTAAGACAATTTCACCTTTTATGCTATGGATCAGAAGAACATCATTTTCTACTATCAATATTTGCGGAGAAAATCTTCCTTTAACATACACCTGTTAGATTCCTCTGTTGTCGTGGCCAGGTTCGACCTTGTTTACATCTACAAGATCCTTCCAGGTCACTTGCTTCCAGGATAACTGCAGGTTTTTTTTTTTTTTCCTCTCTTAAGGACTGCAATTTGACCCCTACTCCCCTGTGCAGCTATATTTTACTGGTTGCTTATATTTTATCCTATCACATTCAAATTTTTAGCTCAAATCTAAATTTAAATTAGCCCAAATTTAATCTAAATTAATTTAGATATTTAAAAAAAATATAAGAGAATTTATTTTTATTTTTAATATTTTTATAACCACTATGACCCTCCTCTCCTCAAACCAAAGATTTTAATTTTTTATCTTAAATTTTTTGTTAAAGAAAAATAAAAATGTAAATAATAAGTGATTCTTTTTTATATTATTTTCAATTATAGTTTGTTTATGAAATGATTAAAGAAGATATTAGGGTTTATAAAGATTAAAAGTTTATGTTGTTAAGATTGATTTATAATTATTAAAAATTTAATATTAGATGATTAATTAATATCTTATAGGAAATAAGGATTTGTAAGTTGATTTGTTTAAATTAATTTTTATAGGTTAAGAAATTCATTTTAACTTTGCTGGAAAATCTAGACAGAATGATCTTGAGGTTGAAGATGATCAAATTTTATTTTGATCCTTGATTTATGAGAATTTTAGTTTAGTCCCTAAACTTTGAAAAAATTACAATTTGACCCCTAAATATATTTTGAAATTCTAGAAAGTGTTATTATAAGGTTAAGGATGATGAATCTCAGTTTGATAATTAATTTGAAATATTTTTAGTTTGGTCCCTCAATTTTGGAAATTTGCATTTTAATCCCTAAACTTTATAAAAATTACAGTTCAGTCCCTAGTTCATTCTAGATAAAATTGAGGATGGTTTATGGGTGAAATTTCAGTATGGTTATATATTTACAGTTTGGTCCATTTTTTATGAAATTACATTTTGATCCTTGTTTTGGATAATTGTCGTTTTAGTCCCTAAACCTAGGAGACTAAACTTGGTTTTATTTTATGCATTAAAATTTTTTATTTGTGTTGTTTTCAGTTGCTTTTAAGTATATTTTTTATATTTATTGTATGTTCTCCTAACAATACTCAATAAGTTTTTTTGGTCTTTCTTCTGATATTCCTTTTAATTCTATATTTTTCGGGTGAGTGAATTAATGTTTAATATGCATATAATATAAATAAATATGTATGTTGATTATATGATGAGTATGATTAGTTAATCTCTTAAATATTTATATATGTTGCTTTATTTTTCAAATACTTGTTTATTCTTGAATTTGCACTCGTATTTTGTGGAACTATATTCTATTCAATATAATATACATTTCCTTCATGATTCTTCAAATATCTATTATGTCTTGATATAAAACTTGTCAATAACTCCATATTAATGGAAAGTAGTTAACATATATGCATATAGTATTCTATATACCTAGTTAATGAAAGATGCATCAGCCTGTGGCGACTAATCATCCCATAGTGATCACCTACGGGTGTCATCTGATCACTTTTGAGTCATCTGGTAACCTCCAGGTGTCATCTGGTCATCTTTAAGTGTCATTTAATAACTGATATCTAATATATATTCTACTTTATGATAATATGTTTAACATGTATATGTTTATATATATCAAGATAAATCGACTTACAAACCATTAATATCTAAAATATATATTAAATGTTATTCTCTCACTGAGTTGGTTTGAACTCACCCATCATTCTTAATATTATTTAAGGTTCTTAGTTTCTAATAGCAAGTAAATTTTGTTGAGTGTTTATGCTTCTTCAATTTTGATCGATATACCTTGCTTATTTGGCAAAGCTTTCCTTTTAGTTTTGATTCGATATTTTAGATGCTCCACTGTTATTTTATTGTAATAATGAGTATTATGAATTATTGTTTTTAGTTTAATTATTGATAAAAAGTTTTGAACTATTTTTTAGTTTCATTAGTTTTGAATAATATAATATTTTTAAATATTATGAAATGCTACGTATTTTTAAATGACTGATTCTTTTGATATGTCCGTTCTAAAACTTGACGTGAATAAAAAGTTCTTTTGACATTGTTCCTGCGTTACCGATTACAGATCCAGGATTCGGGTCGTGACAATAAGTAAATATATGCATGTTGAGGTTTTTTTTTTTTTTTGTTATATCTATCACTTGCTTATGCTTTCTTATCTAACCTCCATTGATAGGATCTGTTGAAGCATGGATGCATGCCACGCAAGTGCAAGACATTCAGAAAATGTGAGAGAATGGCAAGGCAAAACCAATAAATCCAATTCACAGCACTTTTCAGCAATGTGAAAGGTGACCGGCAAGGCAAATCTTTTATATTCAAGGTAATGATACTCAGCAATTTAGCACTATCTCAAGCATGTATGTCAAGTTCATGCAGCAGGTGCCATTTCACAAGGACTTTCTCAAAAGAACCGATCAGGGTAATTAGCTTCCCATATAAATCATATCAAGCCCTCCTTGTATGGTTGAACCAACACAAGAAACATCTTTGTAATGCTCTAGACGATTCAACACTGCATGGGTGACTGTCATCCGATTTTTACTTTAATTAAGAGTTATTGCAAGATTTAATCATTCAATACATCAAGGCAGTGTGATGGTAATGACCTCAAACCTTCCACTTCTACATCAGTATATCCTTTCAGGACATTCCTATACCAAATAAAAATCATAAAATGTTTCGAATAGAAGGTCTATGGTCTTCTTGTTCCCTAAGCTTGTTTGGATATTCACAAGTCTGTGCATGATTATAAGCTAAAATTTCACGGATGGAGCATTGCATGTACAATAAGGATATCTTAAAGAAGCAAAATTGAATTGAAAGACCACGAGTTAATATAAATGAGAGAGGTAATCATGTTTCATAGAAGAACAACAGTATATTTAACTCATGCTGCTAGCGTGACTTTAGAAATAGCCATCCCTCCTGTCTTGTTCCTCAGCTTCCTTGTTAGCAGCTTGAACAGACTTGAACCACAAAAATGCCTGCAGACAAGGTCAGGTTAGCTAAACAACAGCACTAGGCAACTTTATCATCCGCGACAGTTTGTCACTAAACGGATGTCATAAGTTAATCGAGTCAAAAAAATCTCTTCATCCATGCCCGTAGCTACAAGATTATGCCAACTTAAAAACTACCACAATTATATCATCATCACATCATGTCAAGATCCATTGAATTTCAAGAATCAATTTCCTGAGTCTTAGTCAATATATATTCACTAGCTTAACACTCAGAAAGATATATAGCACTTACGGAAAAGGGAATGCCAGTAAACGCAAAGAATCCTAGCAATGGAGCATAAAAAATGCTGTCTGGGTTCACAACTCCGAAAACCGGCCTCTGATTCACATACTCAAAAATGGAACCAATCTGAACACATTGAATTTTAATCAATCAAACCATCTACTTAATTAGTATATAAAGCTACAGAGGAGGGGAAAAAAAGAACAAGAAGTCAGGAAACTCACCGCTGCAATTGCTGTAATTGCTGAGGCAAGTAAATAAACAAAAAAGGGAACTTCAATGTTCTGCTTGGATAAGTTCTCTTTGCCTTCACCCTTAGCCCATGGTGGGGGTTCATCAGAATCCGGTTTAGCCCAGGATGGGATAGTTTCTTCAGACTTACTAGACTTTGCAGACCCTTCAGTTGCAGCACACACAAAAAACTTCTTTTGCTTCTGATAAGCATAATAACTCCCTCTACTTTTCACTGTTGATTGATTCGAATCCATTACCATATTTCTAACAAATAATCTAGAACATGAACCGTGAATTATCAAATCTGAATGGCACCAACACAACAATGTTGCAGCAGCCATTGTTTCCTTCTCTTCCCCCTCTCAAATTCTTCACTCTTCTTTCAATTCTTTATACTATAGACCTAAAAACATTGACAAGATTATTAGAACCACCTTTATGCCAAGTTGCTAACTACAGTGTCCAACAAGAACATTCTTGGTTTTCACTACAAAAATACTTTAGTTCTTTCATTTTCCTGGTAAATTCACTTCTTAAATGATAAGTTAAGAAACACAAGCAAGACCCATGAAACATGCATGCAGAAATTCTGTCTGTCTTTGACATGCAATTGGTTTCATGTAAACTGTTTTTAAGCCACTTTTGTTGAATATTAGAGTATTTCTTGATTAGTGGCCATAATAGTATATGATGCTAAGGATGGTGATAATTCGTGATAGAAAACTGTAAAGAGACTCAAAAGATGAGAAGTGATGAAGGAATACCTGTTGAAATTTGGGTTAGAACACAAGGTTGAA